TCATGTCACGTTATCTGCCACAACCCAGCTAGCTGGGTGTGATGACTGTCAATTTACAATGCAGAAACCAAAATGCAGGTAGTTCAGGTAGCACGGGCCAATGGCGTGATTCCAACCCAGGTCTGTGGGACACCAAAGACCAGAACCTTCCATGTGCCCCGCCATAGTTTAGCAGGTCACTCTGTGGCTAAAGAGCCACTCGACATTGGGAGGCCAGGAGCACTGAGGCCAGGCTGGGCTGAGCCCCAGTCACCACAGGGGTACTTCAAAGTTCATGGAAAGATTCATATTATCTTTTAATTCTATTTTTGTATGAACTTTTGAAGTATGCTTGTACACGCCAGAGTGACTGGGCTGCTTGTTATGTCCAGGACATGGTCTGGTCGCTTGGTGCCTCTGCTCATTCAGTGGCCAAATGCTTTTTAATATCACCCCTGAGTCAGTGAAAGACTTCCCCCCCCGAACCAGCTGCAGGGTGGAGAGAGTTCAGGACGGCAGCTCTGGGCCACAAGGTGCATCGTGGCCGGAGGTGCTTTGACCCGCTGTCTCAGTGCTGCGGTGGCCAGCGGTTCACACGGGGCCACTCGCTGTCCATGGACTCAAATTATGGGACAGTCTGGAAGGGGCAGGCACAGTTTGTGCTGAAGGGTGGGGCAGCCTATGGCCAGTGCCTCTGCCAGCGCCTCTGCAGTTACTCAGCATCCCCAGCTCACCAGAAGGTGCCCATGCATGTCCCCCCCACGGTCATCCATGGGAACCAGGGTCTGGATATGAATTCATTGGAACTAAGTGTGCTCTTGCTTTGGTATTTGAAATGCCCCTATTTTTACTCCTTGGTGACATGCACTCAAGTGTTAAGACGTCCAGGCTTCCTGGGTGAGGGCTCCTGGCCTTTGGAGAACTGCAGGCCTTATCAGCTGCCGCCGTCTCTGCCTACTCTTGTGGGTTTTCTTGAGTAATGTGTGTCCCAGCCCCTGTCCTGGGCTTGGACATGGGACAGGACCCAGCCTCACTGACCTCTAAGGAGGGTGATTTCCATTTCCTCTGTGTTTCATCCTCTTTTTTGACTCCCACGACCACACATGACATGGGCGTTGCAAGGAAGAGTCTGCAAGTGGGGACGATTCCACCCCAGGGCCGTCTGACCTCTGGCTGGACAGGACCTAGTGGAGGCTGAGAGAGACCTGGGCCACTCCCGCTGGTTGCAGCTTCCATATATTACAAAAAAAGAATGGTTTGTGTTAAATGTTTACATGGAACCAATGAACAACTTTAACACAAAAATACCATGCAACATTATTGTTTAATTATTGGGGTTATAGAAAATAGGAATTTCTGGTACATGCTAGGCAGTGTGGTACGACAGTGCTGTTCAAAGTTGGGTAACTGATATCTTCTTCCAGTCCTGGTGGGCTGGGTATTTCTGTGCCTGCATGAAAGTGTCACTTGGAAATAAAGTCAAATGTCTAATTTGCAGCCTTTCTTGAATGTGACACCAGAGTCTGAGGGCCCTCCAGCCCCACACTCCTGCCCAACCTGTCCTACAGGCTCCATTCTGATGTGCTATCACTTTCCCAGGGGGATGGGAGACTGGGGGGACATGAGTGGGCGGGGTCTGCACGCTGGGGTGAGTGAATGTGCTCGTGCATGGGCTTATGCGTGCGTAAGTGGTGTGTCTGTGTGTGCAGGTGTCTGCAAGTGGATGACAACAGTGACCTCTCCTGCCTTCCCTCACCTCCCCACATGTCAGGGAGGGAGGACTGGTCTAGTGAAGAGACACCAACAGCCCCAGGTCATCTCTGCCCATGTCCAAGGGCCTGCACAACTCTTCCAGCGTTGGTCCCACTACCCCCTGCTCAGATGCCAGCTCCAGCCAAATTCCACCTTCAAGGCCACTCCCTGTTCTCAGCCCTGGCTCTGCCACCCACATCCTACCCTCTGCGTGGCCCCAGCTCCAGGGCCACCCACTCTGGCCCCTCCTGATGCTCCTGTTCTGAGCTTCCTGGCTCCGAGGAGGTCTATGGTGCTTCTGAGGCACAGTTGTCATGGGAGCATTGGCAGCTGCTGGCCCCTCTCTGTGTCGCCTGCAGCCATCATTCCTCTGGGGACAAGGCCCGACAGCCTCTTGCCATGGTCACTCTGGGAGGGCCGACCTGGCCTATGGTCAGGACAAACTGATTTGGACAGATGTGCTAGGACAGAGCGTGCAAGGGGACACCCAGGACACGTTCTCCAGCTTCCATCTCACTGGTCCTTCCTCCTGTCTCGTTCCTCAAGTCTTGTTCTCCCGCAGCCGGAGAAAAAAATCCTACACCGCCATCCTCTGCAAATGGTGATGTGGCCAAGGAGCCCCCTGTCCAAAGCCTGCCATGTTCAGTGACGCCTTGGAAAAAGTTCCTAAAGCGTTCTCCTTTTTATTACATCAGGGAGGACTTCTCCCGCAGCCGGAGAAAAAAATCCTACACCGCCATCCTCTGCAAATGGTGATGTGGCCAAGGAGCCCCCTGTCCAAAGCCTGCCACGTTCAGTGACGCCTTGGAAAAAGTTCCTAAAGCGTTCTCCTTTTTATTACATCAGGGAGGACATCTCTCTGCTGTCACATGCATGAAGAGGCTGAAGCCCAGCAAAGCCGGGGCTGTCCCCAGCCGCACACTGAGTTGGCAGGGTGGACGGGCTGTCCTCTGCCCTCATTGTGAGCTGCCCTCTGTGTCAGGAACAAGGGAGAGAGGGTCAGGGGTGCCCAGCAAAGGGCAGCGGGCAGACACAAAAAGAGACAGAAACAGTGATGTGATGAAGAGGGAGACCACGGGGAGCACCCCTGAGTACCAGCCCTGGCGCTGCACCTGCCCCCAGCAGCTCTAAAACAGACAACAGAGTGACAGAAATTTTATCCTGCCTTTTACAAACACAGGAGCACCCAACTCTTGGAGGCCTCACACTTTGCTAGAGCCACAACCCAGGAATTGCTAGAGCAAGAATATGAACCCCGCATACTGAGACCAGCCACATTTTAGCTGCCACACTATCTACTGTCCTGATGTCTTCCACAAGGTCAAGGTGAAGGTCACAAGGGCAGGAAGTCTCATAGTTACAGCATGAATAAGATGAGCCAGACAGAACCTGTGCTGTTAGTACAGTGCAGCTCTGCCTCCCTGGACTCTGCCCACCCCTGGATTCTGCCCACCCCTGGACTCTGCCCACCCCTGGACTCTGCCTCCCTGAGTAGGCACTAAGGGTTTGACTGTTCATCCGTCTCGTCTGAGCAGCTCTCTCTGCCCCGGATGTCAGCCCTCCCGGAATCTTTCTTAGTCTTCTGCTACACCCGCCCATGGTGCCTCTGCATCTGGGCTCCTGAGATGGGCCCACCTGGCCTGGGAGGCTCCCATCCCATCCTCTCAGGTGGCGCTTTCAGCAGCCTCAGGGAGGTGGTATTTGCTTCTGCACAGATGAGGAAGGTGCTCAGCATGGCAGAGGTGGGGTACAGGGCAGGCAGTGCGGAGCCTGGGAAAAGCCCACATCTGCGGGCTCTCCCTGCCCTGACGGCTCTTGCACAGGCCCGGCCACTGGCTGTGTGCGATGGCGTGGAGACACAAACAGAGGCCAGCAGGGCTGTGCTGGCCTCTTAACCACATGGGGGCTGAGCTCTCCAGGCTCCAGAACACATGCAGGCATGGGAGAGCAGCCTGGGCTGTCACACGGGCCCAGGCTTGGTTTAACATTCTGCTGTCACCACCTTGAATTTTTTAATAATTTTGGAACCAGAGGCCCACATTTTAATTCTGCAGTTGGC